GTGAATGTTGAGAATTTAGTTTGGCAACCTGGTGAATGTTGAGAATTTAGTTTGGCAACCTGGTGAATGTTGAGAATATAGTTTTTTTTAAAACCAAAGATTACTGGTAGTAAAGTAATGTATGTCTTACTACAATAAAAAATATGATTTTAACGCACAAGCAGATACTCAATCAGCAGTTCCAGTCGGTCTTTGGTGACGGTAGAGAGTACTCTGAAACTGAGTTCCTTCTGAAAACCAAAATGATGAACAGAGCCTATCCTATCATGGGAGATATCCAGATATCAGAACAAGGTGTGTTTGCCCTCCTCAATACCATTAATCCTTACAAAGCATGTGGTCCTGACCACATTAAACCACGAGTGCTCAAAGAATTAGCCAAGGAAATCGCTCCTGCACTGACAATCCTCTTCCAATCGTCACTATGCACAGGAAATGTTCCAGCAGACTGGAGAACAGCGCATGTCACTCCAATTTACAAGAAAGGAGAGCATTCCGACCCTGCCAACTATCGTCCGATATCCCTCACTAGCGTCGTCTGCAAACTGTTGGAGCACATAATCGTAAGCTCTGTCATGAAGCATCTTGAAAGCCAAAATATACTCAATGACTGTCAACATGGCTTCCGAGTCAATAGGTCATGTGAGACCCAGCTTCTCGAATTTGTAGAAGACTTGATGACCAATCTGGAGAACCACAAGCAGACTGACGTGCTAGTAATGGACTTCGCAAAAGCATTTGACCGGGTGAATCATAGTTTGCTTCTACACAAACTCCAGATATATGGGATTCAAGGCACCACTAAAACATGGATCTCTAGCTTCCTCAGCCACCGACGCCAAGCAGTAGTGGTGGGCGGTACAAGCTCCTCCTTTGTCAATGTGAAGTCAGGGGTCCCCCAGGGATCAGTCCTGGGCCCCTGTTTGTTCCTAGCATACATTAATGACCTACCGGAGAAACTGACATCACAGGCAAGACTGTTTGCAGATGACACAGCAGTGTATAGGACGATCGCCAACAGATCTGACCAGGACCAGCTACAACAGGATCTCAATCTGTTAGCTGAGTGGGAGATGAGCTGGGACATGGAATTTCACCCTGCCAAGTGCCAGACACTATCAATCTCTAGAAGTTGTACTCCTCTACACTACCAATACAAACTGCACGGCCATATTCTTGAGCAAGTTTCCTCCGTAAAGTACCTGGGTGTTACCATTCAAAGAGAGGTCCGCTGGGACGAGCATATTAACAATGTATGTAACCAAGCAAACCAAGCCTTGGGGTTCTTAAGGCGAAATCTAAAGATTGGCAACTCCTGTGTGAAAGAAAGAGCATATAAAGCCTTTATCCGTCCGATTTTAGATTATGCATCTTCAGTCTGGGACCCATTTACCCAGAAGAGCATTGACAGGTTGGAGGCGGTCCAGCGACGAGCAGCACGCTTTGTCCTAAACCGCTACAGGAATACCTCTAGTGTTGGCAGCATGCTAGAAACACTAGGCTGGTCACCATTGGAGAAACGACGACGACAATCCAGGCTCTCCATGATGTACAAGATAAATAATGGGCTGGTCCACTGTTCCAGTATTAAACAGAAACTCGTACCTCTCCCCCATAGACAGCGACGAGGCCATGACAGGCAATTCAGGCTCATACCAGCAAGAAGCCAGTATAGGAGCTGCTCATTCCTGCCCAAGACAATCAGGGACTGGAACAATCTTTCAAAGGGAACGGTTGAGGCGACAACACTAGACACATTTGTGTCTATTGCCTCAAGCCTTCAAACCCCCAGTGCATGATTCCCTCACAAAGTGGCACTGGAAATCTGTGAAATTTCCTCATCAACACCAGAAACAGAAACATTGCAAATCCCATCTACATGCATAGGAGCCAAAATGATCAATAAATTGATCGTGGGCCCTTAAGATATAGAAGAAGAAGAAGAAGATAGATATGAACATATAAGAAATAAGCAAGAGAAACACTGAACGTGGGGAAAGCATTTAATCAATGCCATAATATTGTGGCACAAACCTAAATTAAATTGTTTTCTTAACTGTCACTAATATGTCAATGCAGGAAGTCAGTGACGTCATGGAAACATCTGAAGTCACCTTGTGTTTATCTGTGTTGCAATGGGATGAGATCTATACGTTAGCCTGGTATGGCTGGCTGGGTGGGTGGCTGATGGATGTGTGCAGTGCACCTCTTACAATCTGACGGATGTGTGCAGTGAACCTCTTATCATCTGAAGGATGTGTGCAATGAACATCTTACCATCTGATGGATGTGTGCAGTGAACGTCTTACCATCTGATGGATGTGTGCAGTGAACGTCTTACCATCTGATGGATGTGTGCAGTGAACGTCTTATCATCTGATGGATGTGTGCAGTTAACATCTTACCATCTGATGGATGTGTGCAGTGAAACTCTTACCATGTGATGGATGTGTGCAGTGAACCTGTTACCAATGTGATGGATGTGTGTAATGATAAATCTCTTGTAAGTGGGTTGGGATGTGTGCATGTTAAACCATCGTGTAGGTGGGTTTGTTATTGGATGACTCCCACAATGGACATCAAATACTAGTGATAGAATGTCTGCCGGTCGGTGAGTTCAGGAAATGGGTTAATGCTGCAAGATAAATTATCTATTGAAAAAACAAAGCTCGGAGTAAAAATGATAGACGCAGATGATGGTTGTTTATCAAAACAGCAGCAGCAGACAGGTACACAAACAGGGAAAAAATAAAAATCAGCGCATGTTTTGATGACGTCATTACAAGCAAATAGTGCAAACATCAAAGTTGATTCCGGAGACCCGGGGACCACGTGCAGCAAAGACTAAACAACGCCCGCGTGTCCCTCAACACCGGCGCGACAACGTGGTGCACAAACATGGCTGCCCTTTTGCAATCTGTTGGACTGACGGTCACGGCCCGTGGGTCCACCGGACCACATGCTTCAGGGTAAATACTAGAACAGTCTACGGAGAGATGGTTGGCAGCAAACATGGAATAAACTGAGGTCAGTGTTCTTTGTGGTTGTCTCCCCTGTACACCAGAAGTCAATTTTTAAATTAAGCCCAAAAAAATGGACAAAAATTAATGGGACTGTATCATGGGAGCCCCCCCCCCCCATCCCCCGAAAGTTGTGGGCTGTGGGTCGTAGATGGAGCCAGCCAGTACGGCGTTGGTGGTAGGGGGTTGCAGCCAGAAAGGTGTGGGGGGTAAAGGGGGCATTTGTGGTTGTCCCCCCTGTACACCAGAAGTCAATTTTTAAATTAAGGCCAAAAAAATGGACAAAAATTAATGGGACTGTATCATGGGAGCCCCCCCCCCCCCATCCCCCGAAAGTTGTGGGCTGTGGGTCGTAGATGGAGCCAGCCAGTACGGCGTTGGTGGTAGAGGGTTGCAGCCAGAAAGGTGTGGGTGGTAAAGGGAGCCCATCAGAAAGGTGTGGGTCGTATAGGGAGCCAGCCAGAAAGGTGTGGGTCGTAGAGGGGGCCAGTAAGAAAGGTGTGGGCTGTAGAGGGAGCCAGCAAGAAAGGTGTCGATCGTAGAGGGAGCCAGCAAGAAAGGTGTAGGTCGTGGAGGGGGCCAGCAAGAAAGGTGCGGGTCGTATAAAGAGCCAGCCAGAAAGGTGGGTCGTATATAGAGAGATCCCGCAAGAACGGTGTGGGTCTTAGAGACAGCCAGAACGGTGTGGGTCTTAGAGACAGCCAGAACGGTGTGGGTCGTAGAGAGAGCCCGCCAAAACGGTGTGGGTCATAGAGAGAGCCAGCCAGAAAGGTTTGGGTCGTAGAGAGAGCCCGCCAGAACGGTGTGGGTCGTAGAGAGAGCCAGCCAGAAAGGTGTGGGTCGTAGAGAGAGCCCGCCAAAACGGTGTGGGTCATAGACAGAGCCAGCCAGAAAGGTTTGGGTCGTAGAGAGAGCCCATCAGAACGGTGTGGGTCGTAGAGAGAGGCAGCCAGAATGGTGTGGGTCGTAAATGGAGCCAGTCAGGAAGGTCTGGGTCGTAGATGGAGCCAGTCAGGAAGGTCTGGGTCGTAGACGGAGCCAGCCTGAAAGGTTTGGGTCGTAGAGGAAGCCTGCCAGAAAGGTGTGGGTCGTAGAGGAAGCCCGACAGAACGGTGTGGGTTGTAGAAGGAGATACCTAAATACCAAATTCATGGATCTCAAAAATCTTATCCAACAATAAAATGGATTACTCTCACCACTACTCATAATGTAAGAATCTTATAAATCTGCTTGTAGAAGTTCAGCGATTGTTCTCAACCAGGGTTTGTCTGGTACATCCGTCAGCATGGCAGAGATGGTTTTAATAGTCTTTTGCTTCACATAGTTTGTTGTTTTTTTGCAAGGGAATCCTCTAGGGCAGGCATGCACAACATACAGCCCGCCAGCACCCACTTTGCGGCCCGCAAAGTAACGAAACATTCTTAACACTTAGTATTCTTCATCGCTCCCCCCACCCCCTCCCCCCGCCCCGGTCACCTTACATTTTGTGTTGTCATGTTGTTTACATGTTTGTTCATGGTAAGGCTGAATTATTGTGTGGCGTGCTCATATTTGTCTCAATGTGTCAACATTAGTCTCAACATTGTTCGTGTACCGAGTGCATTTCAAGTTTGAATCATCTATATATGTATATACATGACATAACCCGTTGTCATGGGGGAAGATAAAGAACTATGTAAAAGTTAATATTTACTTGGGTCGAAATCAAAAAATGCAATGATCCTATTGGACGGTGAGATCATCTCATCTCCTGTAGTGTTGCTCTGCCTCCGCGTACACACGCAGGTGCTTTTTGGATGGTGTAAGCCTCCCTCACACATTAACACAATTCCGTGCATTATCTAATTTGTTCGGACTAAAAATAACTTCTCCCCCCCCCCATAAAAAATCCTGGAAAACTACAAGTTTAAAAAAAAAAAATTAATTCGAATCGCCAATAATCTATCTGAGAGATTTCAACTGGTTGCAAAATGGTGGAGTCCGCCACGAAGCCATGCGGCGCCCCCTGGCGGCTGGGAGGTGCGTGGGGTGAGGAGGCGGGCGTTCCTGTTAAAATGTCAGTTCTCGATCGGGGCGTCGTCATTCCGCGTGTCGCCCGCCAGGTTCAGTTCGTGTGATCAATAGAGCACCTTGGTCCAGGCAGCCGCAGGCAGTAAGAGAGCAGAGCCACCTGACAGACACGCCAAGACGACTCTACAAGAAAGGTGTCAAGCTGCAAGGCCACACCAAGAAGTTAGGAGGCCGTTTGTAACAGAAGAAGAAGAGAAGAAACAAAACAAAACAAAAAAAGAAAACTTTAGTTCTTAGTTCGCAGATGACAATTGAAACAACAATTTTAAAACATTAAAACAAAAGGTAAGTTGATTGTTTCCGTTGATTTTTAAAAAATAATATTTGTTGCGAACAAAAAAAAGAAAAGTAGGTTCCCTTTAGTTAATTTTTTTATTTTTATTTTCTTTTAATTACTTCCCTTTCTTGATATTTTATGCCCATTGACATAAAGTTTCATTATGACTAATGTCTTGTTCAAATATCTGATACATCAATCTTGTTCAAATATCTAATATATCAGTTCTATGCTTGGTAAGTTGTCGTATATCCAAGTCCACTTTAAAAAAAAAAACAGTTCTGCTAAAGGCTACTTTCGGTTAAGTAAGTCAGTTAGGAAGAATCGTTTATGATTAGGCCTGGAAACATACGGCCCGCGGGCCACATGCGGCCCGCGAAGTAACGAAATATTCTTAATTCTTATTACGTTCTTAAGAGCTTTCCCCTTGTCCTATTTTCTTTTGGCCCCCACGTCCTTGTTTTTTTTTCTTTTGGCCCGCACAAGTTGTTCATTAAGTCTTAGTATTACGGCCCGCCTTACATTTTGAGTAGTGCAGGCCTGGTTTAGATCTAGATTATCTTGGTTGTCTTTATTTGCCAGTCATATACCACCCACCACCCCCACCACCCTGACCTTCAATTTAAGTTTGTTCATTACGTCAAACCAACTCATTGGAAGACAATTGTTTAAACTCATTGTTTGTAACAAACCAATTGTTAAACTTGTTAAACTTGAACTTTAAGATATCCATCACTTCATTACATCTTCTTGTGACACTTTTGACATCTGATGAAGTGTTCAAGACCACTGCGCATTTTGCCTTTGTACTGTAGTTGTACTCAAGTTTGTATTTGTGTTGCGTTTATTCTTTGCATTCCATTTATGTTTTGTATTCCATTTAATCTATGTATTGCATTTATTTTTTCAACAAACCCAATTTTTTTCCCTAAAGTTAGATTTAAACTTCAACATCTGCTTTGAAATGTCCCGCCATATTGTTTAATCACTCTAAGCTATACATTATATTTCTACAATCTTTTTGTTAATTTGTTTTGTTTCACTACTTTGGTCATGTTCCAGGATTATTATTATTTTATTTTTTTTGCTCGTAACTACAACTTTCTTGATAATAGGCAGGCTCTATAACTCATTTTGTTTTCAAACGCGCACCCTTCTTCACGCATGTGATGTCACTCTTTAAGGGCAAGCCTTATTCGCGTGTCAGCGTTTGATGTAACAGATGCCCCTTCTCTCAGTTCCCATGAGCCCTCAGTGACAAATACATTACAACGTATACAATGAGGGCGTGGTGAACTTCTACTTCTCGCCATTATCTCAGAGGCAAATCGCCATTGTTTTCTCGGACCGTAAATAAAAAAAAATATCCTAAACCAGCTTACTGCCCCCCTCCCCCCACCGTTTAGAACATCTTAATAGTTTCACATATTCGGACTAATTCATGGGGGTCCGAGTGCCAGGGTCGGTAAGTCGGCCTAAGACTTTGGGAACCGCTGGTTTTGGATAAATTTTTTTTAAAAGTGACAATCCATTGGGGCTGTCGACTCGCGAATTTTGCTTCCAAAACTTTAGCAGACAAATTTGACACCATCGTGCCGTCCACAGTTAATGCCTGGACATTGTCCAAAGCTATTGCATGTCTAATGTTAGAGACGTGTTTTGTGTCTATTTGCTTAGAGGCGATACCATGCTAACCTTGACATTTCTTACCTAGTTTTTTTTTTAAAATCCTTTATATTAACTTCGCTTTTGTCCGTGGCTGGTTGGCAAAATCTTCGGACCGCTAATTGACTATTTTCCCGTCAACCTATCAAGCTGAAACTTTGGCACTTAGACTCGTTGTTGATGACAACACATTCTAACAATTTGTCAGCTCCAACCTCTACGAATCAGTTTTTCCTATTTTGTCTAGAAGAATATGTAAGACATATGATGCCAATGATTTCACGAAATAAAATTCCCGATAACTGCGCTAAATTAGATTCTAAAAATAAAAAATAATACCGCAAGTGCCTTTAGTGCGTAATATTTACTTTTGTTTTTTTCTGACATTGTGCAATAAATCTGTGATGCAAAAGTCGTAAGAATATTACTTAAGTTCAGGGGCGTGCAAAATATGAGCGGTTGTGGGGCTGGGGTGGGGGTGCACTCACTGGGATTCTTATAAAGTGCGTTACTTTTATGCATGTTTTTTTCTCTCCATCAAATTGTCAGCTCCATCCCTATATCACATGATTCCATTTGATGAAAGGTTGATCAGAAAACCTTTGGTGTTAGGGTTTATACAATTGTGATTGATATGTGAGTTTGGATGCTTCGAAGTCGGCAGAGGCTCGTCGGAAACATGATTTAGTAGGAAGAGTTTAAAATTAGGTTTCGTCTATGTCAATAACTACGTGAAACCAGTGCTGGGACAACAGCTTTTAGAAGAACTTGTCTATGCGCTGTGATGCTAGGCAAGCTGCTTATAAGTTATTTAGACAACAGTTGCTGTAACATGTAAGTCGCACAAAGTTTTGGTCAGATGAAAAAAAAAACATACGTGGTGTTTCATAACCTTCATATTTTATTACATTTCGGAATCGAAAATAGTGAATCATGAAAATCATTATCAAACAACTTCTGTCACAAGACTCATCTCATTGTGGCCCACGGTTTTGAATGTTTATCAAACAACTTCTGTCACAAGACTCATCTCATTGTGGCCCACGGTTTCCCATCACAGCGTACAACCGAACAGCGCAAAATTCCATTTTAATGGGTTTTCAGACTTGAAAGAGTTTTGATATACAGAACAGACAAGAACTTCAATGTTCTCTTAGAGTACTCTAAGGTGTAGAGCCGTCGCCTGACTTTTGAGCCCTCTGCCACTTTTAGGTTTTGTTAACCCAACATTGAAAGCTGATACTTAAATATTTGTTTACATCGCAACTTTGGGGTCCTTAAATATCCGAGCCCCCTCCCCACTTTTTTGTTGCAGGGCCAACGAGACAGCTCTGCTAAAATAACGCCTCATCACTTTTCGTACCCACCCTATGCAATCTCAACACAAATTTTTGGCATGTTGGCTGCGAGAGTACAGTGCGTTGTGTGTGTGTGTGTTAGCTGCGTGTTTGAGACTAACCTAAAACTTCGAATAATGTCAAAATACGGACACCTGAAACGAACCAAAACCAAACAAAAATTTCATTTAAAAAATAACAACTGAATCTTTGTTTAATGAACAACAAAATCCCCTACAAGCGATCCTTTGTAGAATGCTATCTAAGGCAGAATACGACAAGTAGTTTGTCCAATAGGCATCGACCAGCGAGTCCATTCTGCCTGCCACAATCACCGTGTTAAAGAGAACAAAATACCACAGCTATTGTTGAAAGCAGAAAGTAGATTTAAAAAGATAATAAAGCTTTGGAGCAGTGTAACTCGCGGTCCTTACACTAAACGAATGAATTTTCTTTCTACGAATCGTTTTCATGTTGGATTGTGGGACTTCAGGTGGTAAACATTCCAGAAAATGCGAATACGATGCGAGCAAGAATTTTCTGTTGTTTTTTTTTTCCAATTGAGTTTCTAGTTTCATGGGAAAAGTCATGAACTCGACAATGCGCGTGGTGATAGTAGACCATAAACGAGAGAAGGGGGGACACTAGAGTGACAGAAGTAATAGAGAAATATAAGAGAGAAAGGACACCTTTAGAATGATAGAAGTAATATAGAGATGTAACAGAGGGAAAGGGCACCTTTAGAATGAAATAAGTATTGTAGAGACGTAACAGAGAGAAAGGATACATTTAGAATGACAGAAGTAATGTAGAGATGTAACAGAGAGAAAAGACACATTTAGAATGACAGAAGTAATTTAGAGATGTAACAGAGAGAAAAGACACATTTAGAATGACAGAAGTAATGTAGAGATGTAACAGAGAGAAAAGACACATTTAGAATGACAGAAGTAATTTAGAGATGTAACAGAGAGAAAAGACACATTTAGAATGACAGAAGTAATGTAGAGATGTAACAGAGAGAAAAGACACATTTAGAATGACAGAAGTAATTTAGAGATGTAACAGAGAGAAAGGACACCTTTAGAATGACAGAAGTAATGTAGAGATTAACAGAGAGAAAGGACACCTTTAGAATGACAGAAGTAATGTAGAGATGTAACAGAGAGAAAAGACACATTTAGAATGACAGAAGTAATGTAGAGATTAACAGAGAGAAAGGACACCTTTAGAATGACAGAAGTAATGTAGAGATGTAACAGAGAGAAAGGACACCTTTAGAATGACAGAAGTAATGTAGAGATGTAACAGAGAGAAAGGACACCTTTAGAATGACAGAAGTAATGTAGAGATGTAACAGAGAGAAAGGACACATTTAGAATGACAGAAGTAATGTAGAGATGTAACAGAGGGAAAGGACACCTTTAGAATGACAGAAGTAATGTAGAGATGTAGCAGAGAGAAAGGACACCTTTAGAATGACAGAAGTAATGTACACATGTAACAGAGAGAAAGGACACCTTTAGAATGACAGAAGTAATTTAGAGATGTAACAGAGAGAAAGGACACCTTTAGAATGACAGAAGTAATGTAGAATAGCACCGTCTCGTCTAAGCCACACACCGGCGGCGCGTTTGGCCTTCTCGTCATTTACTCTCCATAACTGTCTTGGCGTAAGGAAACACATTTCACTGTCTTGGTCGTCAGCAGGTTAAGTCCACCGCCTTAGACACCGTATTGTCTTCCGGGGACAATGAGCACTGTGACGTCATCAATTTCCCTAGTCTTTGAATGAGGCCTGAGTGAAAATTGTACCGGAATATCCATTCATAAATGGTTCATTTCCATGAGTTTATCCAGCTTAACTTGTGAGTGAGATAACATAGAACATATATTGTGTGAATATGCCAGGCTTAACTTGTGAGTGAGATAACATAGAACATATATTGTGTGAATATGCCAGGCTTAACTTGTGAGTGAGATAACATAGAACATCTATTGTGTGAATATGCCAGGCTTAACTTGTGAGTGAGATAACATAGAACATCTATTGTGTGAATATACCAGGCTTAACTTGTGAGTGAGATAACATAGAACATCTATTGTGTGAATATGCCAGGCTTAACTTGTGAGTGAGATAACATAGAACATTTATTGTGTGAATATGCCAGGCTTAACTTGTGAGTCAGATAACATATAACATTTATTGTGTGAATATATCAGGTTTAACTTGTGAGTGAGATAACAGAAATCATGTGTGTGCATATATCTAGTTTAACTTGTGAGTGACATAACATAGAACCATGCTGTAGGTCTACAGACCTCAGACAGATAGGTAATATAGGACAATGCTGTAGGTCTACAGACCTCAGACAGATAGGTAATATAGGACAATGCTGTAGGTCTACAGACAGACAGGTTATATAGGACACTGGTGTAGGTCAAGAGGCATCAGACACATAGGGGACGGGCACTGTAAAAAAATGTTCCCTTTGACTTCGTGGGTGTCTTAAATCCCATGGCATCTTTACAAAGGTGATCGTTTGTTGTTGTTTTTTTTTTTGTTTTTTTTTTCTTTTGTGTGTGTTAATGACTTGACGAAATGCACCAGTCAAAAGATAAGCCCTAGACAATAGGAGATAATACGGTGAAACGAAACGAGCTGGAAATTAAATGAGGGACTTTTTTCTTTGAGTGTTAATGAAAGCGTTGAGGGAAATTAAATGAGGGACTTTTTTCTTTGAGCGTTAATGAAAGCGTTGAAGGAAATTAAATGAGGGACTTTTTTCTTTGAGCGTTAATGAAAGCGTTGAAGGAAATTAAATGAGGGACTTTTTTCTTTGAGCGTTAATGAAAGCGTTGAAGGAAATTAAATGAGGGACTTTTTTCTTTGAGTGTTAATGAAATTGTTGAAGGAAATTAAATGAGGGACTTTTTTCTTTGAGCGTTAATGAAAGCGTTGAGGGAAATTAAATGAGGGACTTTTTTCTTTGAGCGTTAATGAAAGCGTTGGAGGAAATTAAATGAGGGACTTTTTTCTTTGAGTGTTAATGAAATTGTTGAAGGAAATTAAATGAGGGACTTTTTTCTTTGAGTGTTAATGAAAGCGTTGAGGGAAATTAAATGAGGGACTTTTTTCTTTGAGCGTTAATGAAAGCGTTGAAAACGTAATTATAAATTTAAAAATAAAACGAAACAAAGCAAGAAGAAATATAAAATCTATTATAAATGCAATAATGCACGATGATAAATAATACCCTGAGCTTTCAAAGATTTGAATATGTATGCTAGAGTAGTTCCATTTTAATAATACATCCATGCCTGGTTGTGTGAGATGAACACATACAAACACGAAATAAAACAGTGGCCAGCAAGGTTGATAGATTGATCATAGATCACTGTCCCGATAAATCGTTATGGTTGTATATGTTATTCGAGCTATATTAGTCTGAGTCTTTCTACTTTCTTTCCCTCTTTTAAGTCTGTTTCCAATACCTCTCTCGATTTCTCTCTTCCTCTCTCTCTCTCTTTTATTCTCACTCTTTTTCTTTCTTCCTCTGTCTCTTTTCCCTCCTATCCTCTCTCTCTCTCTCTCACTCTCTCTTTATGGGCATTTATCTATGTATATAGCGCACCATCTTAGTTAACAATCTTTAACTTTTATCTGGAATCTCTATTTCTCAAAATGTGCCCCCTCCCCCAACACACACCCTAATTTCTATCTCTTCCTCCTTCTCCCCCCCCCCTGGTCCCATCTCCTTCTCATGTCCTCCCGGCCTCCTTCTCCGCCTCCTTTCGTCCCACCTCCCTCATCCTAAATTGATGGGCAGTGTATTGCCGCCCTCTTTGCCGTCATGAACAGTTCCGACGACTGCCCACAAAAAACCGTGTGTACGGTGAAATTAATCAACTGAAAGGAAACCCAAGCGAAGGTTCACGGTTTCGGCGCTAAAAAAAAAAGTTAAAAATAATTCCCATTTACAGAAACAAGGGGGTTCAAAATTTTTACCCCATCGGTCGGATTAAAAGGGGATTACACAAGTTTTTTTCGCCCATTTTGGATTCATCGCGGGGTTATTTCTCTAATTGAGCGTGGGGAGATTGTGTGCACGGCGAGAGATTATGGGGATTTCAAAAACAATGTCACTTGTTAAACAGCGGTAAAAATTGGCGTTACATTATACGTCATCAACAAAAGATGCCTGTGAACGTCAGGGTGGTCCTCAGATTGTGATCTGAGTGGGGTCTGTCTCGGTAGGGTTGCGATCCTGCATTTATGGTACGCGAAATAAATCCCTTCAGGTTTTGATCACAAATAATGCAGGATAGAGCTTGAGCTCTCAAACAGTACAGGACAGTGATTGAGCTCTCAAATAATACAGGACAAGGCTAAAGATCTCAAATAGTACAGGATAGAGCTTAAGCTGTCAAGTAGTACATGAAAGAGCTAGAGCTCTCAAATAGTACAGGACAAGGCTAGAGCTCTCAAGTAGTACAGGAAAGAGCTAGAGCTCTCAAATAGTACAGCAAAGAGCTAGAGCTCTCAAAAGTACAGGACAAGGCTAGAGCTCTCATATAATACAGCAAAGAGCTAGAGCTCTCAAAAGTACAGGACAAGGCTAGAACTCTCAAAAAGTACAGGAGTACAGGACAGAGCTAGAGCTCTCGAACAGAAGGATGAATGTATAAATGTAAATATTTTCAAGCATTAAATAGTTCAATTTTTCACCTTTTCTCACTGTTGTCCCGAGGCAAATGCCTAGTTTGCCTAGCCCTTGCCCCAGTCGTGGCACAGAACATGGTGCTTGAATGTACTTTAATCAATACATATAATTCTCTGGGTATGAAAGAAGGGATTTTATTTTATTCAGACCTTTGATAACAAAATGATAATAATAAAAAAATAGAAAGTAAAAAAAAAAAAAAAGAGAGAGACCATGTTTAAAGAACTGCATATTCCTACTGAATTTGCCTAATTCATATTTAATTCGAGGAACTAGATTCCAAATTTTTAAAAAAAAAATTCATTGGACCTTTATATTGCAGTTAGATTCGGTTCCCCATATTTCAATATTGTATTTGTATTCGTTTGCGCACTTAGCGTGCAACTATATGTGAACGCATTTCATTAAAAAAAAAATACACAAAAATGACACACAAATGTCATGCCAGATGTCGATCTCTGAAACAAATGATTTGCCAGACACAAATGACGTGCCAGATGTCAGATCTCTGACACACAAATGACGGGCCAGACACAAATAACGTGCCAGATGTCAGATCTCTGACACAAAAATGACGTGCCAGACATAAATGACATGCAAGATGTCAGATCTCCGCCTAGTGATAAAAGGATACATTGTAGACCTCGATCACAGGATTTTTGTTCGTCGCCTCTTCGTTACTCACTGCGAACATTTTGTTTGCTACAATTTGTAATAAACCGAATGTAGTAGTAGAAGTACCCTGGTCACAAACAACAAAATTAGAATGTAGTAGTAGTAGTACCCTGACCACAAACAACAAAATTAGAATGTAGTAGTAGTACCCTGGTCACAAAAAACAAAATTAGAATGTAGTAGTAGTACCCTGACCGCAAACAACAAAATTAGAATGTAGTAGTAGTACCCTGACCGCAAACAACAAAATTAGATTGTAGTAGTAGTACCCTGACCGCAAACAACAAAATTAGAATGTAGTAGTAGTACCCTGACCGCAAACAACAAAATTAGATTGTAGTAGTAGTACCCAGGTTACAAACAACAAAATTAGAATGTAGTAGTAGTACCCTGGTCACAAATAGCAAAATTAGAATGTAGTAGTAGAACCCTGGTCGCAAACAACAAATTTAAAATGTAGTGGTAGTACCCTGGTCACAAACAACAAAATTAGATTGTAGTAGTAGTACCCTGGTTGCAAACAACAAAGTAAGAATGTAGTAGTAGTACCCTGGTCACAAAATACAAAATTAGATAGTAGTAGTAGTACCCTGGTCACAAACAACAAAATTAGATTGTAGTAGTAGTACCCTGGTCGCAAACAGCAAAGTTAGAATGTAGTAGTAGTACCCTGGTCACAAACAACCAAATTAGATTGTTATCATGGTCACACAAATGTCATGCCAGATGTCGATCTCTGAAACAAATGATTTGCCAGACACAAATGACGTGCCAGATGTCAGATCTCTGACACACAAATGACAGGCCAGACACAAATGACGTGCCAGATGTCAGATCTCTGACACACAAATGACGGGCCAGACACAAATGACATACCAGATGTCAGATCTCCGCCTAGTGATAAAAGGATACATTGTAGACCTCGATCACAGGATTTTTGTTCGTCGCCTCTTCGTTAATCACTGCGAACATTTTGTTTGCAACAATTTGTAATAAACCGAATGTAGTAGTAGAAGTACCCTGGTCACAAAAAACAAAATTAGAATGTAGTAGTAGTATCCTGGTCACAAAAAACAAAATTAGAATGTAGTAGTAGTACCCTGGTCACAAACAACAAAGTTAGATTGTAGTAGTTGTACCCTGGTCACAAAAAACAAAATTAGAATGTAGTAGTAGTACCATGATCACACAAAAAAAATAGAATGTAGTAGTAGTACCCTGACCGCAAACAACAAAGTTAGATTGTAGTAGTTGTACCCTGGTCACAAAAAACAAAATTAGAATGTAGTAGTTGTACCCTGGTCACAAAAAACAAAATTAGAATGTAGTGGTAGTACCATGGTCACAAAAAACAAAATTAGAATGTAGTAGTTGTACCCTGGTCACAAAAAACAAAATTAGAATGTAGTAGTTGTACCCTGGTCACAAAAAAACAAAATTAGAATGTAGTAGTAGTACCATGGTCACAATAAACAAAATTAGAATGTAGTAGTTGTACCCTGGTCACAAAAAACAAAATTAGATTGTAGTAGTTGTACCCTGGTCACAAAAAACAAAATTAGATTGTAGTAGTAGTACCCTGGTTACAAACAACAAAATTAGAATGTAGTAGTTAGTACCCTGGTCACAAAAACAACAAAATTAGAATGTAGTAGTTAGTACCCTGGTCACAAACAACAAAGTTAGAATGTAGTAATAGTACCCTGGTCACAAACAACAAAGTTAGAATGTAGTAGTTAGTACCCTGGTCACAAACAACAAAGTTAGAATGTAGTAGTAGTACCCTGGTCGCAAACAACCAAATTTGATTGTTATCATGGGCGTCTTAAAAAAAGTTAGGCCCTGGCGTTATGGCAGGAATGTTAAAAAAAGCGTGGGGTAGAATTGTATACGTAGTTTTGATGCCAGTGGCGGATCCATGTTAAATGAGGGGGATAAGGGGTGGGTGGGGGCAAGATAAATGACATTGTCAAGTGTTAACACCAAGAGCAATGTCTAAGTTATTTCCTACATGACAGCGGGTAGGGGGAAAGAATTCATCCCCCACACTCACACACCAATTCTGATCTCCACACGCCCCCCACCCACCACATACTTCACTCTGCCTCTGACTATGATTGTGTCTCAACAGATCTTTTTGAGTGATTACCGATGCCATGCTGAGAAATTAATTTGTCCGAAGTCTTACAACCGTCTGTCCAGTAGTATCTAGGTCTGCATCTGATGCCAAGAGACAAACATTCAACTGATCACAACAGTCGGCCTTTTTAGTTGTTGTTTTTTTGTTTTTTTTTTGAGGGGGTGGGGGTGTGGATCGAAAACTGTGGTTTACCTACGGGGAGGGAAAATGGGGTGGACATTGGTGTCAAAGAGGAATGAGGGATCACCTTGTTCATAATAAAGTTAAATGTAAGTGATGAGACTTCAAGAATCACACGCTCTATATTTAACAAGGATTTGTAACAAATATATATAAAAAAGGGGTGTGTCTAGCGAACTTCCGGAATGAAAAAAAAAAAAAGCAAAACATTAAAACAATAAAAAATCGTATGAATACATTTTCTAATTGGCTTTTTAACACAGTGAATCTAACTGGCAGTGTGTCATTGTCAAATGTGTACACATCAGCAGGGTGAGAACTTTCTCGTTACCAGCAGTGGCGTCTGCATAAGTAACGTTTAGTAAGATGTCGTGAAATAAGCGATCTGCAGACGTCCCTGTTTTTTATTCAGCCCCCGTTTCGAAGATTGGACCACGTCCACTGCAGGATAGGTCAACTAAGGATCCGTCATAACTGGCCTCGTGAAATGTCTCGACAGACTATAAGCCACGTCCACTGCAGGATAGGTCAACTAAGGATCCGTCATAACTGGCCTCGTGAAATGTCTCGACAGACTATAAGCCACGTCCACTGCAGGATAGGTCAACTAAGGATCCGTCATAACTGACTTGGTGAAATGTCTCGACAGACTATAAGCCACGTCCACTGCAGGATAGTTCAACTAAGGATCCGTCAGAACTGACTTGGTGAAATGTCTCGACAGACTATAAGCCACGTCCACTGCAGGATAGGTCAACTAAGGATCCGTCATAACTGGCCTCGTGAAATGTCTCGACAGACTATAAGCCACGTCCACTGCAGGACAGGTCAACTAAGGATCCGTGAGAACTGGCTTGGTGAAATGTGTCGACAGACTATAAGCCACGTCCACTGCAGGATAGGTCAACTAATGATCCGTCAGAACTGGCTTGGTGAAATGTGTCGACAGACTATAAGCCACGCCATGTCCGCTCCGGGTAACCTGCAAGTTAGAGAGATTCTGTCGAAAACATGTGTGAGGACAAAACATCCAACGGTTTTTATATTGTTTTATTCGTTTTAAAGTTATGAACCCAAATGGAACAGTTCATTTGCCGGGTCATCCACAGGCCACTCTTGGTTGGAGTCTACTTAACATTCTCACGATGCCATGCCTCAAACTTGATACAATACATTCAAATTAAATTTATTTAACAACACGAAAATAAAATATGTGCGGCCTAATCCTCCCCCCCCCCACATACACACACACACGCACGCACTCTTTTCTTTTCCTGACTTCGGAATATTTTAAATTTTAAAAAAAAATTATTTGTTTTTAAATTATTATTATTATGATAATTAAAAAATAAATTATTTAATTATAATAATAATAATGTTTTAATTTTTTGGGTTATGCATCAAATAGTCCACCCCACCACCCCACACACAAATCGTCCCCCACAGTACTGATGGCGTTGATGCTATCTTGGCTAATTCCAATCTTGGCCTGCAATGGGTGCTGTGTTGGTTTGGGTACGGAGGAACTTCCCTGAAACCAAACCATGTGCCGTAAATAGACGTGAGAAACGTAGTACTAGGGATAAGTGTCGGTCGCTAAGCTCTTATAGCACAGCCAATCAATGGCAATGATACGGCTCGACTTGTTTTGGTGGTAACGTTATTTTTAGCATGTCTTCGACGTCACACTGGTGAACATTTCAGTAAGTAAACATAAACTTTTTTTTTTAGATAGAATTTCCAATTGGCACACCGGCAGCGGTGCAAGATACTGACACCCTTTCTTTTTCTATCTCTCTTTCCCACGCGCACAAAACTCATCCTCTCTTCATTTCTCCATTGCTCGGTCTTCTTGAAAATCTATCTCTTTTTCTGTGGGTTTGATCTCCCTTTCAACATCCTTGTACATAAATATATGTCTCACCCTCCAAATCTCTCTTTCCCTCTCTCTTTCCCTCTCTCTTTCTCTCTCTCTTTCTCTCTCTCTTTCTCTCTCTCTTTCTCTCTTTCTTTCTCTCTTTCTTTCTCTCCCTTTTTATCTCACTATTTCCCTTTATCTCTCTTTCTCGTTCACTATCTCTCCCTCTCCGCTAACATTATATTTGAGCCCATATGTTATATGTAACAAGTCAAAGTAGCCCATATGTTATATGTAACAAGTTAAAGTAGCCCATATGTTATATGTAACAAGTTAAAGTAGCCCATATGTTATATGTAACCAGTTAAAGTAGCCCATATGTTATATGTAACAAGTTAACGTGTATTATTATAATGTTACATATTTGAAGTATTATTAGATCTCATCGCTGTTAGTCATACTTGTCTGCTATAATTAGGAGTGACCTCCCGTGGTTCTCTCCGCACTTCTAATCAATCCGCATGTCATGGGAACTCAATTCTTGGCGCCAAAACTCATTTGACCACGTGCCAGGGGTGCCACGTCAGTGTGCCGGGGCTAGCCTAGGGAGTTATTTAGTTAAGCCATCCACGTTTATCTTAGTGGAATCGTTATACATTTTATTTGATAGGATAGCACGCATCATATCAATTGTCGAAAAGGGGCAACTCGAGAAGCGAAAATGGTACAGCGTAATTTGAGAACAATGTCCAGGTAAAGATTGGCTCAGTTGAGAGCATTGTAATGGTTAAAATGAGTTCAGGACATCACAGTGGACGATAAACATTCATAGATCTAATCAATAGAATTCTTAAATGTGGAGAAAAAAAAAGTGCTTTAACAGATTATTGAAATGGAATAAATGTTTCCTCAGGCCGGATCTAGATTAACCAAGGCCACCGCCATCTTTTTGAGCATGGCCACTATACTTCCGCTTTCGATATGATACTACAGGGTTTTCCAATTTTGTTTAGAGTTTAGCCAGCGTTAATTTTTGTGAAGAAAATGTATAAAATAAGATTTAACATTACGAATTATTTATGAGATTCCAACTTGAGCCAAATGCAAATAATTTAATAATGTGTAATATTATTATGACACAAGCATATGGGCGGATTGTGAATTTCCTATTCTAAAAATACGGAAACGGGCCCGGGGGGGGGTAGAGGGGGGTTTAGCCTGTTCTTGATATAAAATAGCCGGTTATTTCTCCGTGACATATCGCCGAACGTGGTATTAAAAAATCATAAAATGGTTAAGCGTTCATTGGCTACCAGCCAATATTTATTTGGTTCCCTATCCCATTTATGAGACTTTATTATCTGACGTGTGCTATTATAACCGGAAGTAAGCAATCACGTATACAGAGTAAAGCGTTTTTGGATGTCCAATTCTAAGAATATGGAAACGGATGGATACAGATACGAAACGATTTCATTAAAACTCCGAACTCTTTCGTGGAGCTCAGAGAATAAATGCCGATTCCAAAGTCTTTGGCGTCATATAAGAGCTAATAAAATAAATGCCGATTCCAAAAAGTTATGGCGTCATATAAGAGCTAATAAAATAAATGCCAATTCCAAAGTCTTTGGCGTCATATAAGAGCTAATAAAATAAATGCCGATTCCAAAAAGTTTTGGCGTCATATAAGAGCTAATAAAATAAATGCCGATTCCAAAAAGTTTTGGCGTCATATAAGAGCTAATAAAATAAATGCCGATTCCAAAGTCTTAGGCGTCATATAAGAGCGTCACGAATTGCGTTGAGAGCTAAATCGTGATGATTTCATTGACATAACAGAAATCGTCGTATATACTCAAACTCGGAATCCGACTCTGTAACTTTTTCTTCCCCTATTAAAGTCATTTATAACACCAACGAGAGATGTATGTGGACGATGGATTTAACGTAAGGAGAAATTCCCCGAATCTCATAGCTACGTGTCCCTCACGAGCTAAGCGCGCGCAGAGAAACCATTTGGAGTAGAGACTAAACTTAACCGTACCATCCTCGAGCTTTGTCGTTGGGTGGGGGGGGGGGTGTAAATATCACTGGTCATTCAGACTTTCTATTATCATTCGGGGTGCTCGTTGTCCCACCCCTGGGGAGCCCTCACACAGTATCGATGCGTGTGTCTGCATGCCCTGGTTGAAAGCGCCGCCCCTGCGAGTCACGTGTTTACCTTTCCCTCGCGCGCCGCCGTCAACAATAGCATTGACGGCACCATGAAATCCTGGCCACTTTTTATCACCCCGTCATGAGACAACGCCATTGTGCTTTTCGCCAGTTGGGATCCGGTTGCTAATAAATGCTGATTCGATCCTCGTCACCGTGGGGTCATTTTTGTGGCAGGCAAACCAATCCGTTAATGACTCATATGTGGGCGGTATCGAGTATTTAAAAAAAGAATAATACACCGCTTGGATCTTTTCCTTTTTATCGATACCAGAATCACCTATTTGTGCCATTATAGCAATGGTGCGATTTGTTTGTAGGTTTCGGTAACTATTCGAATAGGTCACTCTGACTACACACACCGGGCCGATACGGTGTGCTCAGGTTGACTATCACCGGGCCGATACGGTGTGCTCAGGTTGACTATCACCGGGCCGATACGGTGTGCTCAGGTTGACTATCACCTGGCCGATACGGTGTGCTCAGGTTGACTATCACCGGGCTGATACTGTGTGCTCAGGTTGACTATCACCGGGCCGATACGGCGTGCTCAGGTTGACTATCACCGGGCCGATACGGTGTGCTCAGGTTGACTATCACCTGGCCGATACGGTGTGCTCAGGTTGACTATGTTAACTTTCAGGCACCTGAGATCATCGGAACAATTTCAACGTTGACATGCTGTATTGGGAAATCTTTGAAATCCTTTTGCAACCCCCTCCCAACCCCTCCCCCCACTACTAAGTCTATCTTATTTGATGTGTTTTAATGTTCATGCAGCAAGTCTTTGTTCCTTGAAAGCTGATGGCAAAGTTACGGTGAGAATTGTTTCCACATTTAAATACACGAGCTTTACCCTTTAAAACAAAAAAAAGAAGAATTATTGGCACCTCACAATTCTACCACACAATTTTAACTCACATTTTCGACCCCACACCCCTAATACACATTTCGTGCATGCACATTTTTGTATTTCTTCTTTTTGTTTTGTAATAATCCATCATGTATAATCCAAATATCTCATTTTAAAAAAATCTGACATGTACATTCCTGTAAAACATGTATACACCTGAAATGTTCATTCCTATAACACATTTATACACCTGAAATGTTCATTCTTATAACACATTTATACACCTAAAATGTACATTCCTGTAAAACATGTATACACCTAAAATGTACATTCCTGTAAAACATGCATACACCTGAAATTTACATTCCTATAACACATTTATACACCTGAGATGTACATTCCTATAACATATTTATACACCTGAAATGTACATTCCTATAACACATTTATACACCTGAAATGTCGATTCGTATAACATATTTAAACACATTCCTTCCACATAATATTAATAAAAATCTCACTCCACCATCCAGACTATTAAACACATGTATGTTGTGAGATGGAAGCATTCACGACCAAACTCTGTACTTTAAAGATCGAGAGAATGCACGTATCGGAAGTGTGAAGAACGGAAAACCCAGTCGTGTTTAACCAGAAAGACTTCAACTTTAAGTATCCTGTGACTTCCTTCAACTCATTACACACATTCCTGAGATAGAAGCTTTCAATTTAAACATTAATCGGCTGTCATAAGGAGGAACTGTTTGCAATTATTGTCCATGGGATTCTATGGATTACAGCTTCGCTAACATACTTTTTGCAGGGCCGGCGCTGGGAGATGGCGAAGTGGGCGGTTTGCGGGGCCCCGCGCGTTGCCGTAGTATATTTATAATATACCTAAGCCTACTAATAGTTCCTAATCCAGTCAACACAATATTCAGAGTTTTTAGACAGTCCAATAGTCTGAAGGTCAGTCTGGCTCCCATACTACCCCTTCAATGGCTCATTAAGCTGTTGTTTGTTTTTGACAACCTTGATATTGGTATCAATGGAGCCGCGATGAGTCATTTTAGGCCAGGGCAATTAACAGTTATAGGAAAAAAATATAAATTTTACGAAACTAAGCCAGTGAACAAATATCCATTATGACTCGTCCCATTATGACCAGCAAGGCCCCCGTACGACAATAACATTTCTTAAAATCATAACGGCGGAATATATATAACGTCAACGGCCCCGTAAAATTCAATTTGCCCAGGGCCCCGCACCCTCTTAGCGGCGGCCCTGCTTTCTGGTTAAATACCCATATTAAAATGCATAAAAAATTAATAATAAATTCATAAACTACTTTTTTTTTAAAAAAAATCAAAATCGCACTACACATCTGTCACCATATTTTTAGTAAATTGTTTCTTAGATTAAAGACCATAGTCTAGGCTTGGAGCACACCATTTGATGACGTCATAAGCCCGATTTCTGTCCCATGATGGTCCCGCTGAAGTGCCATTGTTGTGTGATAAGGTCACCGTTACAGCCAAGGAAATGGAATACAATTAATGTGTGGCAACAGTCCTGCCAGTGTGTCATGGCGTCAACTCCCTCTGGGAGCCCACGTGGTTGGCTCTGGTAGACTCGGCCAATGATTGGCGTCCACGGTTCGTTCGGTGGTGAGCTTTGACATCATTAGAAGTTCGTTTTGATACAAACGACTTTCTGGTCACAGCAACAAAATAGATTCACTCAGGGGCGCTGTCAATCTGGTTAGCGTTTAAAACGGATTGTCTGTAAATCTCAGTCAATAAAAAGGGAAGGAAAACAACAATACTCTGACGATATTTCCATCCTGACCTGAAAGACCTTTTGATCTCAACTTCCTTTGATTGGCTACACATATAGACGCACCGATGTCTCAACAGGGAGAAGTGCACTATGTCAAGTCAAAGCGTTAGATCTCTTTGCCTCCGCATCTTTGCCACACGTTTGAAGGATACATTGAACCAAGGGACCCGATGGGTGTGCTGTGCCAATGGTGAGCTAAAGACGGGGGAGATCATGATACAAGTAGAGAAAGGAGAAATAAGGGAGACAATGATACAAGTAGATAAGGGGAAGTAAGGGAGACAATGATACAAGTAGATAAGGGGAAGTAAGGGAGACAATGATACAAGTAGATACTGGGAAATAAGGAAGATAAACATACAAATACAAGTAGATTAGGGGAAATTTTGCATAAAATTGACAGGGGGTGCAATCGATGACGGCCTGGCAAAATATTTGAGATATTTCTTAACAGGAGTAGACTATATGTTGACATAAAAGATATAAGGGAAAGAATTCAATTAGGTTGAGGTATATGAACAATAAAACATGTAAGGGAAGGAATTCAATCAGGTTGAGGTATATCAGGGGTCTCAAACTCGCGGCAAGACGATATTTTGCGGCCCGCTACCTGAGAGAAAAGTTTAGTGTTAATGCGGCCCTAGCATTTCCCCCATTCTCATATCTATAACGGGAACCTCCACGACGGTTTCAGTCGAATCCCATCGACTAGTCTAATTCTGATTGCTATGATGTTTGTCTAGATTTGGACGTTGATTCAAATGGTTGAAAAAACGTTTTAAAATCGGACTAAAGTTTTTATTTTTATATATTTTTTTTTATATTCTAGCATTTTATGAGACAAACATGGCCAAAGTGATGTTTTGAGAAAAGTTGAAATACTCAGTTGGTTGGTAAGGCATAACCATAGTTGTGTCAATCGTAGCCTTGTGAAACAATATCAAAGAAACCCTATTAAAATTGCCGCTAGTTTTTACGAGTGAGGGAAATTCCGAGCCTGTCAGCTTGGTCCATTTCAAAATAGGGCTTGTCAAAAAGGCCTTTTCTACGAAAAATCAAAGTTTATTCTACCTTCAATGTTATCTTCCTTCTCATAAATAATTCATAAATATTGCCTACTCCTGCCCACTGTTTGAACACGTTTTAGCCTTTAACCTTGGAGAAGGATGGGGTGAGTGTTATTGTAGCAAGTGATCTCAAATGGCTCATGGATTTGGCTCTTCTTCTTGACATTACACAGGAGCTCAATGTACTCAACAAGAAGTTACAAGACCAGGGGCAGCTTGTCAGTGTTGCCTATGACAATGTCAGGGCATTCTGCACAAAACTTTTGTTATGGTTCTTAGAGAAATCTCTGCCATTGCCCAACATGCATAGTACTCTTAGACTTGGGCACACCATTCAGAAGTCAAGTATAACGATGGCAATTCAAAGCTACAGGAAGACTTTGATCTCATGTTAGCAGACTTCAATACACACAGAACCCCTTTTCAAATTTGTGATGTCCCTTTCTCCTTCAATGTGGAAGATGCCCCCCACCCCCATCTTTTTTTGTGTGTGCTTCAAATGGAGCTAATTGATCTTCAGTGCGATTCTAAGTTCAGTGAGGTCAATGTAAAAACAGACAAGAATGGCCCATTTGGGAGAGCATTGCCCTCCACTTCACTGAGATTTCCAGGTTGTTCAAGCAGATCTTATGACTTTTTGGGATTACTTACCTGTGTGAAAAGCTTTTTTTCTACTAAGAACTACAAGTCAAAGTTCAGGTCCAAACTTACTGATGAGGATCTTCAAGCTTTTCTGAGAGTCTCATTTGCTTCCTGACTCAAGCCAAAGTTGTTCAGCTGTGGAAGAAGAAGCGCTGCCAGGTCTCTGGCAACAAGGAGTAGGAGGGAGAAATTGAAGCCTAGTTTTTTTTTTTATAAAGGTTGAGCCGATTGTAACAGTTGTACTGTAATGAATTTGTAATCACTTTTTTGTTTGTGGAATACTTAATGAGGTCCAGTCTCACTCAGACTCTTATCTACTGCGGCCCCCGGCTGATTAGAGTTTGAGACCCCTGAGGTATATGAACTGTAAAACATACAAGGGAAGGAATTCATCAGGTTGAGGTGTATAAAATGTAAAGATCCTATAGATGACAACAAATAAAACATTTTAACGAGTCGGCAAAATGCCTTCGTAGGCAAACAAAAACGATGCAGATAAACTGATCGTATCCTGGGCTCCATAGAACTCGGTCAAATGATGTTGGGTCTGCAGTTGGCACACCAAGAAATATTGAGAAAGAAGAAAAAAAAAAGTAAATACACGGCGATTGGTGGTCAGTATAAATGAGGGTCGTGTTAGAGAGAGAGAGAGAGAGAGAGAGAGAGAGATAGCGCGGCGAAGGGTGGTCAGTATAAGTGAGGGGCGTGGGAGAGAGAGAGAGAGAAAACAAAAACGATGCAGATAAACTGATCGTATCCTGGGCTCCATAGAACTCGGTGAAATGATGTTGGGTCTGCAGTGGGCACACCAAGAAATATTGAGAAAGAAAAAAAAAAAAAGTAAATACACGGCGATTGGTGGTCAGTATAAATGAGGGTCGTGTTAGAGAGAGAGAGAGAGAGAGAGAGAGAGAGATAGCACGGCGATTGGTGGTCAGTATAAATGAGGGTCGTGTTAGAGAGAGAGAGAGGGGGAGAGAGAGAGAGAGAGAGAGAGAGAGAGAGAGAGAGAGAGAGCACGGCGTGTGGGGGTGTGTATATATGAGGGGCGTGTGAGAGAGAGAGAGAGAGAGAGAGAGAGAGAGAGGGAGAGAGAGAGAGAGAGAGAGAGAGAGAGAGAGAGAGAGAGAGATAGCACGGCGATTGGTGGTCAGTATAAATGAGGGTCGTGTTAGAGAGAGAGAGAGAGAGAGGGAGGGAGACAGCACGTCAACGAACCTTTCTTCTTCGGGTCCTTGACTCTGATGATAGGTGTCTTCCTGTAACGGATTGTGTCCTTGATGTTTTAAAGGTTGTAGTAAACGCTGGGTCAGATATCAACTTTGGCTCTATGCCCAACTTGACATGCTGGAAGGAACAGAGAGTACGCAAGCGCTACAAGCTGACCTTTGACCCACTAGCCTCCAACCCACAAGCAATCTCATAGTACTCAGTACTCAAAGCATAACAGCAAATGCCACAAAATGATCTTTGTCCCAATAGCCTCAAACCCATAAACAATGTCATCAGTACTCAAACCGTAATTAATAGTAAGCAAATGCTTCAAGCTGACCTTTGTCCCAATAGCCTCCAACCCATAAATAAGGAAGCCCTACTCAAAACATTTACACTATAAGGATTAGTCAAATACATAATCTGCGTTCCTAATGTGTGACTGTGTTAATTGAGTCACCACCTCTTCTTTCCCTCCCCCCCCCTACCACTAACTAAGCCAAGACATATAGCAGTGAAATGGTCCACGCGATGCTCTTGATAGTTGATCATTGATGATTGGGGGGGGGGGGGGTCATGGAAAATCTGGGCTTATATTGTATTAACAGGGTCAGCATTATAAGACTATGAGAGTCACCAATAAACTAGGTTCTGTTTGATTACATTGTGGAATCTGGTCAGAACCGAATGTGAAAAGGGTGAGGAGTGTGTGTGTGTGTAAAAAAGTGTGTGGGGGGGNAACGGCCCAAAGGCAGACCTAGGTTTAGGTGGAAAGATGATGTGGAACAAGATCTACAGCAGCTGAAAGTCCAAGCATGGAAAAGAAAGGCATTCGTTAGGTCTGAGTGTCCGGTAACTTTCGTGAGTGACAGGAAGCTATTGTATCTCAATTCTGATACAGAAAGCTCTCCATTAATACCAACTACGATGGTCGATTTTAAGTATATGTTACAGTTCTTAAATACATAAATACATTTACCCCCTGACCTGGGGGGGTAAGACAACGTTTTGGGAATTGGTTAAGGGACAGTCTTTAAAAAAAATTACTAATAATGGTTTGATCCTTCAGTGGGTTTAAATCAGCTGTTGGTAAAAGTCATGACACGGGGACACATACAGATTCTGAAACGTTCCTTTTTGTTTCTGATTGGTGAAGTGAACAATGGAACATTCCATTGTGTTTCTGATTGGTGAAGTGAAAAATGGAACATTCCATTGTGTTTCTGATTGGTGAAGTGAAAAATGGAACATTCCATTGTGTTTCTGATTGGTGAAGTGAACAATGGAACATTCCATTGTGTTTCTGATTGGTGAAGTGAACAATGGAACATTCCATTTTGTTTCTGATTGGTGAAGTGAACAATGGAACATTCCATTTTGTTTCTGATTGGTGAAGTGAACAATGGAACATTCCATTTTGTTTCTGATTGGTGAAGTGAACAGTGGAATAGTCCATTTTGTTTCATATTGGTGAAGTAAACAATGGACATTCCATTTTGTATCTTATTGGTGAAGTAAACAATGGACTTTCCATTTTGTTTCTTATTGGTGAAGTGAACAATGGTAGATTCCCTTTTTTCTGATTGGTGAAGTAAACAATGGAACATTCCATTTTGTTTCTGATCAGTAACGTGAACAATGGAACATTCCCCTTTTTCCGATTGGTGAAGTGAATAATAGAAAATTCTCTTTTGTTTATTATTGGTGAAGTGATCATTGGAAAATTCCCTTTTGTTTCTGATTGGTGAAGTGAACAATGGAACATTCCCTTTTGTTACTGATTAGTAATGTGAACAATGGAACATTCCCCTTTTTCCAATTGGTGAAGTTAATAATAGAACATTATCTCTTGTTTATTATTGCTGAAGTGATCATTGGAACAATCCCTTTTCTTTCTGATTGGTGAAGTGAAAAAGTGTTGTTTTTTTAATTTGGTAAAGTGGCCAGATTTTCTTGAAGATAAGCCCACTCACCATGAACGCCATAACGTACTGCTAGTCATTGGTGAATACGGCTGGAGACAGGTTTAACATCGTTCCTGTACACACACATACACACAGACCCTAAACACATCCATTGTCTTTTAAAACCGGAAGTAGCGACTTTAACGCGAGACCTTCCCGGCACGTTGATTGGCCAGCGTGCCTGATTGGCATATGAATGTAGGCTGATCACGTGGACTGTGTCTCTAGGCGTTGGTTTGACTAGAATAGGGAGGACGTACTTTTTACCTTGTAGATCTCCCGTTCTGTGTGAGAGTGTACTTTTTACCTTGTAGATCTCCCATTCTGTGTGAGGGCGTACTTTTTACCTTGTAGATCTCCCGTTCTGTGTGAGAGTGTACTTTTTACCTTGTAGATCTCCCGTTCTGTGTGAGGGCGTACTTTTTACCTTGTAGATCTCCCGTTCTGTGTGAGAGTGTACTTTTTACCTTGTAGATCTCCCATTCTGTGTGAGAGTGTACTTTTTACCTTGTAGATCTCCCATTCTGTGTGAGAGTGTACTTTTTACCTTGTAGATCTCCCATTCTGTGTGAGAGTGTACTTTTTACCTTGTAGATCTCCCATTCTGTGTGAGAGTGTACTTTTTACCTTGTAGATCTCCCGTTCTGTGTGAGGGCGTACTTTTTACCTTGTAGATCTCCCGTTCTGTGTGAGGGCGTACTTTTTACCTTGTAGATCTCCCGTTCTGTGTTAGAGTGTACTTTTTACCTTGTAGATCTCCCATTCTGTGTGAGGGCGTACTTTTTACCTTGTAGATCTCCCGTTCTGTGTGAGAGTGTACTTTTTACCTTGTAGATCTCCCGTTCTGTGTGAGGGCGTACTTTTTACCTTGTAGATCTCCCGTTCTGTGTGAGAGTGTACTTTTTACCTTGTAGATCTCCCATTCTGTGTGAGAGTGTACTTTTTACCTTGTAGATCTCCCATTCTGTGTGAGAGTGTACTTTTTACCTTGTAGATCTCCCATTCTGTGTGAGAGTGTACTTTTTACCTTGTAGATCTCCCATTCTGTGTGAGAGTGTACTTTTTACCTTGTAGATCTCCCATTCTGTGTGAGAGTGTACTTTTTACCTTGTAGATCTCCCATTCTGTGTGAGAGTGTACTTTTTACCTTGTAGATCTCCCATTCTGTGTGAGAGTGTACTTTTTACCTTGTAGATCTCCCATTCTGTGTGAGAGTGTACTTTTTACCTTGTAGATCTCCCATTCTGTGTGAGAGTGTACTTTTTACCTTGTAGATCTCCCATTCTGTGTGAGAGTGTACTTTTTACCTTGTAGATCTCCCATTCTGTGTGAGAGTGTACTTTTTACCTTGTAGATCTCCCATTCTGTGTGAGAGTGTACTTTTTACCTTGTAGATCTCCCATTCTGTGTGAGAGTGTACTTTTTACCTTGTAGATCTCCCATTCTGTGTGAGAGTGTACTTTTTACCTTGTAGATCTCCCATTCTGTGTGAGAGTGTACTTTTTACCTTGTAGATCTCCCATTCTGTGTGAGAGTGTACTTTTTACCTTGTAGATCTCCCATTCTGTGTGAGAGTGTACTTTTTACCTTGTAGATCTCCCATTCTGTGTGAGAGTGTACTTTTTACCTTGTAGATCTCCCATTCTGTGTGAGAGTGTACTTTTTACCTTGTAGATCTCCCATTCTGTGTGAGAGTGTACTTTTTACCTTGTAGATCTCCCGTTCTGTGTGAGAGTGTACTTTTTACCTTGTAGATCTCCCATTCTGTGTGAGGGCGTACTTTTTACCTTGTAGATCTCCCGTTCTGTGTGAGAGTGTACTTTTTACCTTGTAGATCTCCCATTCTGTGTGAGGGCGTACTTTTTACCTTGTAGATCTCCCATTCTGTGTGAGAGTGTACTTTTTACCTTGTAGATCTCCCATTCTGTGTGAGGGCGTACTTAATGCCTTGTAGATCTCCCATTCTGTGTGAGAGTGTAATTTTTGCCTTGTAGATCTCCCGTTCTGTGTGAGAGTGTACTTTTTACCTTGTAGATCTCCCATTCTGTGTGAGGGCGTACTTAATGCCTTGTAGATCTCCCATTCTGTGTGAGAGTGTAATTTTTACCTTGTAGATCTCCCGTTCTGTGTGAGAGTGTACTTTTTACCTTGTAGATCTCCCATTCTGTGTGAGGGCGTACTTAATGCCTTGTAGATCTCCCATTCTGTGTGAGAGTGTACTTTTTACCTTGTAGATCTCCCGTTCTGTGTGAGAGTGTACTTTTTACCTTGTAGATCTCCCATTCTGTGTGAGGGCGTACTTAATGCCTTGTAGATCTCCCATTCTGTGTGAGGGCGTACTTTTTACCTTGTAGATCTCCCATTCTGTGTGAGAGTGTAATTTTTACCTTGTAGATCTCCCGTTCTGTGTGAGAGTGTACTTTTTACCTTATAGATCTCCCATTCTGTGTGAGGGCGTACTTAATGCCTTGTAGATCTCCCATTCTGTGTGAGAGTGTAATTTTTACCTTGTAGATCTCCCGTTCTGTGTGAGAGTGTACTTTTTACCTTGTAGATCTCCCATTCTGTGTGAGGGCGTACTTAATGCCTTGTAGATCTCCCATTCTGTGTGAGGGCGTACTTTTTACCTTGTAGATCTCCCGTTCTATGTGAGAGTGTACTTTTTACCTTGTAGATCTCCCATTCTGTGTGAGAGTGTAATTTTTACCTTGTAGATCTCCCGTTCTGTGTGAGAGTGTAATTTTTGCCTTGTAGATCTCCCATTCTGTGTGAGAGTGTAATTTTTACCTTGTAGATCTCCCATTCTGTGTGAGAGTGTACTTTTTACCTTGTAGATCTCCCATTCTGTGTGAGAGTGTAATTTTTACCTTGTAGATCTCCCGTTCTGTGTGAGAGTGTACTTTTTACCTTGTAGATCTCCCATTCTGTGTGAGAGTGTAATTTTTACCTTGTAGATCTCCCATTCTGTGTGAGGGCGTACTTTTTACCTTGTAGATCTCCCATTCTGTGTGAGAGTGTACTTTTTACCTTGTAGATCTCCCGTTCTGTGTGAGAGTGTACTTTTTACCTTGTAGATCTCCCATTCTGTGTGAGTGCGTACTTTTTACCTTGTAGATCTCCCATTCTGTGTGAGGGCGTACTTTTTACCTTGTAGATCTCCCGTTCTGTGTGAGGGCGTACTTTTTACCTTGTAGATCTCCCATTCTGTGTGAGAGTGTACTTTTTACCTTGTAGATCTCCCGTTCTGTGTGAGAGTGTACTTTTTACCTTGTAGATCTCCCGTTCTGTGTGAAAGTGTACTTTTTACCTNTGGGTAGTCCAGCTCCCGCCAGCCCATGGGTAGTCCAGCTCCCGCCAGCCCATGGGTAGTCCAGTTCCCGCCAGCCCATGGGTAGCCCAGTTCCCGCCAGCCCATGGGTAGCGCAGCTCCCACCAGCCCATCGGTAGTCCAGCTCCCGTCAGCCCATCGGTAGTCCAGCTTCCGTCAGCCCATCGGTATTCCAGTTCCCGCAAGCCCATGGGTAGTGCAGCTCCCGCCAGCCCATGGGTAGTCCAGCTCCCGTCAGCCCATCGGTAGTCCAGTTCCCGCCAGCCCATGGGTAGCCCAGTTCCCGCAAGCCCATGGGTAGTCCAGCTCCCGCCAGCCCATGGGTAGTCCAGCTCCCGCCAGCCCATGGGTAGTCCAGTTTTTGCCAGTATCAACAGGTGTCGTGATGACAGAAACATGTATAATTGTAGATCTTGTTGACCTCAAGATAGACTAACAGTAATGCACTTTTAAAGTAGTTTCCCCCGTCACTACGACTGAATATCGTAAACATATCGTACGAATTGTGTTTTGAACAGAAGTCCAACTAAGAGTCCAGGATCTAAATTTACATTAAAAGTACACATTATGGAATATTCTTCACGCGTGCACGAACGCACGGAAGCACGTGCGTGCACACTCACTTATAAATACACACACACACACAGAGAAACACCACAACAAACACATTACAAAAAATATGTCTCAAATACTACTTCACTTTAAAATCGATGCCAAATATTTCGCTTGAAATGATGCATTCGATGCGGTATTTGAACTGTATTTTCCACTAAGATGTATGAAGGTTGAAACTCAACCATTTACATCATTTAAATTCCAACTAACCCGAACACTTTAAAAAAAAAAGCCATATACTTGTATGTCAACTGTTGAAGGCCTAACTTGATTTTCGTTACAAAACGCAATGTTTCGTGTCAATCATAAGGCTTAGATACATTTATTAAGTCAAGTTGTTTGATTTCTAAAGGAAATGGTCCGAAAAGCGGCGCAATGAATCGAATAGATGAAGCATAAACAGTGGATTTTGCTTTTTCTTATCCTCAGCATTCCCAGATCATGAGTCCTACAAACATGTCCTCTGGTCTCGTGCCGGTCCTGGTCCTGACTGTGGTCGCCTGCCTGATGCTCACAGACAACGTCTCGGCAAGCGCTCGCTACAGGGTGGGCTATATGTTCGGCAAGCGAGGTATCGAGTCCCCGAGTACAAGTTTTATCGATACCATTTCCAGGTAAGATCCATCTACAATCTGTGTTGGCATTGACTTTGACTCAATTTGACTGAAAGACGCACTCTGCTCTTCCGTAAACGTTAAGACGTTGCTGTGAGATGGAGTGAACATTTTCAATGACATCAAAATTCCACTTGCCTCATGTTGCTAATCCACCAAACGAGACTAAGTTTAGTCTAAAACGAACGTTTGGCAGGCACTGCAGGAGTTTGAACTCCCTGTGTGTTTGACAGGCCCTGCAGGAGTTTGAACTCCCTGTGTGTTTGGCAGGCCCTGCAGGAGTTGAACTCCCTGTGTGTTTGGCAGGCCCTGCAGGAGTTGAACTCCCTGTGTGTTTGACAGGCATTGCAGGAGTTGAAGTCCCTGTGTGTTTTGCGGGCACTGCAGGATTTCAACTCCCAGTGTGGTTCACTCTGACCGATGCTCCGGGGGTAGGGTGGGGGGGGGGGTCTTTTAAAACATCCCTAAAAGCTCAAAACCACCATTTTAATTTTTTTCATGTAATCGATTCCAGTATCGCATTTGACGTCATCATTTCAGGTCATTAAGGGGTGAACTATAAGCACAACCACCAAAAATGATATTTCGTCATCGTTTGTAAATGCCAGGCCCAAAGGTAATCGCCAGACACACACACACACAGCAGCAGCACAATTGGCCATTGTGTACCTACCAGCGAGATGCGCCCCGAGCTGTTGATCGTGTTAGTGATATCCGAGCAATCAATCGGGCGCTATTAGTCGGCGCATTTAATGGCCAGCGCCAGGCGGTAAATTACTAGATGATATGGTTTCCTATCTTAAATGAAAGGTTGTTTGTTGTTTTTTTTTGTCGTAGCAACTGATCCGACGTTCTTGGGCCAAAACTGGAGACCAACGGATCCCCGGATGACAAGAGTCCAGCCGCGGGGCACACGTTTAGTACACCACGCTAGGTCTACAGTTTTCTAATAAAACCGGATGACCACAACTACTGACCTTCTGGTGTGTACTTCCTGGTGTGGTGTGTGATTGGTCAGCCTCTGCTGCTGGACGACACCTACACCAGAATTTTAGTAGGAGTTAGTGTGGAACTGACCACTGCTTGTATAAATCTTGACATCTGGCCTCGTGAAGAGAGCCACCCTCAATTGTGTTCGGGTTGCCACAATCTCCACACAGAAAAAACCCATTCCTCTCTACATTCTTCATTAAACTTCAGAATTCGTTGGCTCAGCATCCAGGCGACTCAAATCCTATTTGTGTATGTGTTTCGCCGAGTAGAACTTGTTTGACAATAAAAACACTAATGTTGCTCTTCTGTTCATGTTTCAGAGAGATGAAAACGAAACAGGAAGTGGAGTCATTGATATTGAAAAATCCGGAGGTTTTGTCAGAGGTCCTCACGATATTAGACAAAAATGGTCAGTGCCTGCCTGGGTTGTCTCTCTCACTTTTTATATCTCTCTCTCTCTCTCTCTCTCTCTCTCTCGTTCTCTCTCTGTGTTTCTCTCTTTTGTGTATTTTTCTCCATGTATGTGTCTGTCCGCTGAGTGTGTCTCTGTGTATGTTTGTCTCTTTGTGTCTCTCTTTACTCTCACTCTCAGTGTCTCTATATTTACTCTCTCTCTCTCTCTGTCTCTCTATCTGCATATCTGTCTCACTCTGTTTGTGTGTATCCTCTCTCTTTGTTTCTCGCTTTCCCCTGTACTCCATCTCACCGTATGGCGCCTGCTCTCTATTTCTTTATCTTATAACTAAATAGATTTAGCAGAGAAATTTTGCATTTTTATGCACCCAAATGAATCAGATGGGCTTTAAGTTTGTGACCATATTGTCATGTGTCTTACACCACTCAGCCAGCGACCATAAAATCATTTTAGGCTTAGCTGTTTGGTTTTGTTTGTATGTTTTTACCAACTGTTTGTATTCATATTAGGTTGTCTCCTTAAAAGGCATTTTATTGAACTTCGTTAAAGGTTCCACACACTTGTTATGAGACGTGGCTTACGTCATTATTCTCTTTTTAATTGGGGGGGGGGGGGCCTTTGCAACAAAAAAAAAAAAAAAANAAAAAAGGGGGGGGGGGTGTCATTATCTCGTTTGTATTCCTGAGTTTGTTTTCAACCAAGAATTACCATTGCAACCACCGTAACACGTAACAAATAAACGTATTTCACCGTAACACGTAACAAATAAACGTATTTTCACGTCATTAGAAAACAAACCAAAAATGAAACATTCACACTAAAATTTAACCAAAAAAACCGACCGACAACCCACCACCAACTGTCTTTTCTTGTCCCTGTCTCCACCAGACGATGGCTACATCACAGTCTCAGACGTGCTCTGAGCTCGCTCGTGGGGGGCGCGGGGTCACGTGACGACCTCCAGCCAACACAGAGAGAGCACGTGCCAAGTGACCTCGACACGGCAGAGTCAGATGCCCTTTACAAACTCTATTATTTTAAATTTAAAAAAAAAAATAGAACTTTCCATTCATTGGGCCACGTGCCTGTGCCAAGGCAAATCACATCTTTCAATAGAGATTTTAGGCAGGTTCTCATGTTACGATCTGCGCCAACAGAATGATGTCAAATAATTTTTTATTTTGTTAAAACGAAACTTTGAAAAGCAAATGTTCACCAAAACCTCTAGTGTAAGGACGTCCTTTTAAGATGTGTTTGTTTGTAAAGAAGAAGAAGAAGAAGAATAAAACAATTCACCATAATCCGTTGCTCGTCTGACTTATTCTATTTATAGACACACCCACTGGTCATTTCCCCTGTTCTTGAATGTATGGTTTTGGGGGGTTGTTGTTGTTGTTGCTTCTCCTCCAAATAAAGAAATGAGAATCTGGTTTCGTATCACTCGAGATTTCCTTCAGGTATGTACGTACGTAAGGATTCATTTCTTTGAGAACATGGTAAACATTGGACGTGGTAACAGTCGTAATAGCAATTCTTTTGAGCAGGAGGTCATCTCACTCGTGTGGTAAGCATGGGGTCACCATGTCATGAAAACAGCGTGTGACAAAGAGCGGGGACGACCGTGCACTACTACTCAACATTGGATACTCATCTACGGGTTGGCTTAACCGGCACGACAACCCAGAGTCTGAGAGACATTCAACCCCCCCCCCCCCCCCCCCGCAGTCGGGTTTTCACTACCAGTGTGGAAGCTACAGAGTACGGTTTTAATTAATCTGACATTAGCATTGTTGCGACTTCCGTGGGGGTGCCATCTGATGATATCTCAATTATTTTTTTACATGTGCCCTTAAAAACGAATCGACTGAGCTTTGAGATTTTTAGCTTGAAACAGTCTCACTACTTTGAGCTTTAAATAGCATCACTACTTTGAGCTGGATAAAGTGTTGGTTCTTTTGGCTTGAAACAGTCTCACTACTTTGAGCTGGATAAAGTGTTGGTTCTTTTGGCTTGAAACAGTCTCACTACTTTGAGCTGGATAAAGTGTTGCTTCTTTTAGCTTAAAACAGCATCACTAATTTGAGCATGATAAAGTGTCGCATCTTTTGGCTTGAAACAGTCTCACTACTTTGAGCTTGACAAAGTTGTACGACTTTTAGCTTGAAAAAGTCTCACTACCTTTAGCTAGAAACAGTCACACTATGTTAATCAAAACTAAAAGAATCACCTGGGTGCATAGACATGTTTCAAAAACGCATAGAAATGAAGCACAAAGTCAGGAGCCGCCATCACAGCTATCGGTAAACAGGAATGATGACCCCCAGACAATAAATACATCTAACGTATCGGAAGGTTAGTCTCACTTCGGATCCGGAAATTTGATCGAAATTTTTTTTCATCAACGGTAATTTGATCGAACGGAAGTTTGGTCCAATCTTTCTTTGAGTTTCTACGTTAAAATTTTTCTTCAAATTTCTTTTTGAACGCATTATTTTGTTTTACTATATAGTATATGGTATAGCGCGTTCAATTAGAAATTTGACGAACATTGGTGTGTGGACTGAGAAAAATTTACCGTCGACGAAATTTCTTTCGATCAAATTTCCGGTAACCGAAAGGTTAGTCTCACTTCTCACATATTCTATCTACTTTGAATTAATTTTTTTTTAATTTTGCAAAGATAAAAGACTTAATTAAGAAGAAGTTAGCTTATGCAAATAGAAGGTCTTGTAATAAACATGACTAACATCTGGCCATGTACCCTGTAATGACGGCTGCCCCCCCCCCACCCTGGGGGCCCACTCTCCACTCGGGGCAAACTGTGAAAGATAACGGAAACAACCAGAGCAAACACAAACATGGACACAAACACCAAAAAAACATAAATAAGAAGAAGTTAACTTATGCAAATAGAAGGTCTTGTAATAAACATGACTAACAACTGGCCATGTACCCTGTAATGACGGCTGCCCCCCCCCCCACCCTGGGGGCCCACTCTCCACTCGGGGCAAACTGTGAAAGATAACGGAAACAACCAGAGCAAACACAAACATGGACACAAACACCAGGCCATTTATCACAAACTTCTCCCCGTGCCGGCCTGATCGCGGACACACGACGGGGAAAGCTTGTGGTCCCAATGACCCGTGACCTTTATTGGCGAGTAGTCCTGTTTGTATCAACTACGAGAGGACTTTGGAGACCACTGGAGACTCTGGCTCTGGTGTGGTCCAACTGCTGACCAGTTTCTTACAACTTTGTTGACCTTGTGTGTGTGTGCGCGTGCGCGCGTGTGTGTGTCTGGTAATATTTAGAAATCCTAGTTGTCAAGTCTCTTCGGGAAGAAATGAAGTATTTTTTTTTTTTTAAAGCAGATATCAAAATATAAATTCTTCTGTTCCATAAAACAATGAAAAACATTCTGATGACGTTTTTAATATAGTTGCACTTAATACATGACGTCCTTAATATGTGACGTTCTAATGAATGACGTACTTAAAACGGTGCGTGCTTAACACGCGCCAATTATATTTACAATAAAAGTTGAAGAGCTGCCTTAATTCAGCCTTAATTTCTCGACTCATGCTAAGCTGTGTGTTAAACTAAAGTTAAAACAAACAACTCCTTAAACTTCATATAGACATGATGTAGACATTAATGTATTTATCAATGCACTCTGTTCGGTGAGCTCTAGAATCACTTGTCAATTGATGGCCACAGAACTAGCATGTGTTTAAATTAAATTTGTTAACTTGTTTGATAATCGCTTTACAAATAGTGTGTAGATATGGGTATCGAAATTGACGATTAGAAAAACTATACTGCAGCATAATTTCTGTTTAAAGTGAGGGTGCGTCTAACAACAGGACAGGCGTGTACGAAAAAGTAGTTCCCCCATTTTTTTACAAATTTCATTAAGAAAACAAATAATGTAGTTCCCGATTTTACACTTAAATTAAGACACCAAACAAAAACTGCATTTTAAATACTAAAATGCGTTTTCATGCTTGTGCTATCTCAAAATTTCAGCACAGCTCAAATCTCGTCTTGGAACAGGGTTCCAATGAACACAGAGGAACAACACATCGCGTGTGACTCTGGCCAAATTTAGAATCGTGGCTAGAGAGTAGGGCCCTTTGCATGAATTCCTTAAATTGACCTCTGCCCTCTTATTTCACATCGGAAATGATGATCTGTGCACACGAGAGAGAGCCTTCCATTTTGGTTGAAATGAGGCACACTCCTGGTTCCACACCCCCTCCCTTTGTAGCCTCTTAAAACATGCGTTAGACATTAGTTTAAACAACTGGGTGTCCAGGGTAAGCTCACTTTTCACCCCTTGTTATTCTTACTTTTAAACAAAACCATTTTGAACCCCCACTATAGAAGACATAAAGATGAAACTCAAATGTGTGTGTGGTTGTACTGTTGAGTTCTTTCAGCGAGGAACAGTAGGCGTGTACAATAAAATGCTTTCGTTTTTTTGTTTGTATTGTTAGATAACCGGAAGCGCGGTACTTAAAAATATCCTAAAATTAAATTTAGATTAAAATTCAACACCCCCCCCCTCCCTCTCCCAAGAAACCAAATGGTATTGGTAAATTTAATCCAGATACCAACAAACAAAGAAAGAAAGAATGTGTTTAAAATAATATAAAAAGGTCCTAAGGCGGATACTTCTTAACAAGACAACAAGCCCAACAAAGAGACAAAGCATGGCTCCATTGTCACTAATCGTTTCCAACTTTGTTTATTTTGTCTCAGAGAAATTTAAGATGAAGTTTTTTGCTTTTTTTTAAAAATAAATGCTTGTCTAGCTTTATCTCCATGAAAGTAAAGCAAACAGGTGATAGGCCATGACAGGGAGGCGCCACCACTTACACACCAATACGATCAATAACATCCGAGCCACCGCAATGAAGCACGGATCTATCAGCTAGTACATCATACAAAGTTAGCAGATTATAGTTTAGTTTCATTTCGTAATAAACACATTTCAAGCTCTGGTCAAAGTTCAAACATAATTTTTTCCCGCCACCATCAATGAACATGATGATAAATAATTCCATTCTATCATTTTTATCCGATTCGCTCTTTATGGACGGTGATAGAGTGAACGATTCGCTCTTTATGGACGGTGATAGAGTGAACGATTCGCTCTTTATGGACGGTGATAGAGTGAACGATTCGCTCTTTATGGACGGTGATAGAGTGAACGATTCGCTCTTTATGGACGGTGATAGAGTGAACGATTCGCTCTTTATGGACGGTGATAGAGTGAACGATTCGCTCTTTATGGACTGTGATAGAGTGAACGATTCGCTCTTTATGGACGGTGATAGAGTGAACGATTCGCTCTTTATGGACTGTGATAGAGTGAACGATTCGCTCTTTATGGACGGTGATAGAGTGAACGATTCGCTCTTTATGAACGGTGATAGAGTGAACAATTTGCTCTTTATGGACGGTGATAGAGTGAACGATTCGCTCTTTATGGACGGTAATAGAGTGAATGATTCGCTCTTTATGGACGGTGATAGAGTGAACGATTCGCTCTTTATGGATGGTGATAGAGTGAACGTAGGTAATCACATTGAGCTTATCATGGCTCTGGTGACCGCTGCAGTTATTTGGGTCCAAATGGCCTTTTGGTGTGTGGCTCTGGTGATCGCTGCAGTTATTTGGGCCCAGGAAGTGACCTTTCGGTGAGAGGCTTTGGTGACCACTGCAGTTATTTGGGTCCAGGAAGTGACCTTTCGGTCAGTGGCTCTGGTGACCACTGCAGTTATTTGGGTCCAGAAAGGACCTTTCGGTGAGTGGCTCTACAGCACGTCATTCACTGCATTGTAAACGCAAAGTCAGATACATATCAGTTTGAGACCCTGTGGTGCAGTGACTTCGTTGGATGGCATGCGTGTATGTAAGTGACTGCATCCTATAGAAACGGCACGTTTATACCATTTTAATGCCCCCGCCCCCCCCCCCGTGTACCATGTGGCTTGGGTGTGGGGGGGGGGGGAGTCCGTCCTTAAAAAGATAACTGTAACATAGCTGAAATGAAGGTGCTCCGCTTCACTAGAGAAATGTCTGACTGTTGACTTTCCGGTCACATAATGAACGCTATACAAATGGTGGAGTTGAATCATGTTCAAGTTGCATTGGCGAACAATTAGACCAGGATTCTTATATAGATACACATTGGAAATGATTTGTTTTCACGAAGGACCAGCTATATTAAGCATTCTAAATATCAAAAGAAAAGAATATCGCACCAGTACTGAATGAAGCTCGCCAATGTTATCA